CCACAATAACGTTGGAAGTTACACTCTGCCTCTTTAAGGAGCCAAGCTTCTCCCTCAGCAATGTGCGCCTCCTAGCTCCAGATACTTTAGGAACTCCTACAGCCCATTAGTCTTACCAGCAGCAGAACAGGCAACCAAGCATCTCTCAGTAGCATTTCTGCAATAGCTTCTTCCCCCTGGCTGATGACAGAGAACTAACCTCCTGCCAGACCCAGCCCTGGGGCTTATATCTGTGCAGGGCCCTGTTTGCTTCTGGTCAGCTGACTGGGTGCAGGTGACAGCTAAGTCTAATTCCCCAGTTAGCTTACTGCCAAGGCAACCTGCAGCTGCGGAGCCCTGCCTAGGTCTCATGGCTCCCTAACTAAGCTGCCTCTGCTCTTGAAGGAGCAGGTACACCTTAGTGCCCTACGACAAGCCACTTTTTATCAGTTTCAGTGAGACCAGAGTGCCCCAGGGAAGATGCTTCCTCAGGTCTCGCTGAAATGGACGCAGTGGTGGGCCCACTCTCTGTCCATCGGGAACAGCAAGCAGGTCCTGCTCCTAGTCCTGCCCCTGCTCACCAAGCCTCAGTAAGTAAAAGCTGTGCAGGTGAAGGACAGTCAGAATTTTTTACCTTACCATGTGACTGCTTCACTAAATCAAACAACTCTAAGCCAATTAACATTTGTTTGGCTGACAGCATAAGGTATAACAAGGCCCTAACAAGGACTTAAAACTAGTTTCAGGTGTTAATGTGCGGACAATCTACATGTTAAGAGCTTCAGAAGCTGCCCAAAATTACCATGTAACAAGCCCCTTTCATGCTGTGGGGGGGTCCTCTACCAAAAAGATTTTTCAGGTTTAAGTCTGCTTTGCAACACAAAACTGGGAGTAGGGATCTGGCTGCTGCTTGTTTTTTGTTTCAGCTAATTTATTAGGCATATGAAGATATTTTTGAATAGTTACAGTTCAAAACATATCAGATAAAGCAAAGGGCACTTGGAAATGATTTGCAAATAATTGGTGCAGACGTGAACGACTGGTGCCTCCCAAAATTGGGAGGGCACAATTTGTGGGCAGCAGTGGCAGGGTGGCAAGTGGCAACCACCTGCAGAAGTCAAAGAGGTGGTGGTGGGGGGGGGTTTGCAAGCAGTGATTGGTGGCCACCCACAGAAGCCAGTGTCAGCAGTGGCGAGCGGCGACCACCTGCAGAAGCCAGCAGTGGTGAGTAGTGACTGCCTGCAGAAGCCATTGGTGGCATCAGCAGTGGTGGGGTGGCGAGCAGAGGTGGCCAATCTCAGGAGGGGCACATGCCCTCCCATGTTCCCCTATGTGTTGCCTATAGGTACAGAGATATTACTGTATTACAGAAATTTTAACAAAGTTCCTTTCCAACTGAATGACTTTTAAAATGATCTCTTTCTATAGCAATTAAAAACAGGCTAGACCAGCAGTGAGATTTTGTTTTAAAAGGCATCTGTAGGTTTCAGACAATGGTAAATGCAGTAATAAAGATACCTTCTAAAGATGTTTATGTCTAATTTTAAAGGACTGTAGTACAAATTAGTATTTTCCTGATAATGCCATGGATAACTTGGACCCTGAAAGCCTACAGTGAAACTTTCATATGTTTATAATTAGAAAGCTAAACTGATTGACATTTACCAGAAAGATTTTTGAAAAACAAAATTAAACTTTATGTTTTGTTTTTAAAGTTGCCTACCTCTGCAGCATCATGAGGTCACCATGCCTACTCTGTTGCTATGGGGAGAAAAAGATGCATTTATGGAAGTCGAAATGGCAGAAATTACACGGATTTATGTTAAAAATCATTTCAGGTTAACTATTTTGTCTGAAGCCAGTCATTGGCTCCAGCAGGATCAGCCTGACATAGTGAACAAGTTGATATGGACTTTTTTAAAAGAAGACGTAACAAGAAAAAGAGAGTGACTTTTCCTATGTGTTTTAAGAGGTCTTCATAAAAGCTCTTAATTTAAAAACTAATTGTTATCAGGGCCATATATCCAGCCTACCTTTTTTTTGGCTTCTGTTAGAGAAAAGTGTTTTCAATATACTGTATATATTTGAACACCAATGTTATTACTAAAAGAAAATGATAGTGTGAAATTATATAATGTTAAAATTGGTTTTACTTGTATACCTGTCTTTTGCACATAAAAACACATGCCTTAAGATGTATGTATTTGTACAGTATGGAAATCATGGAAAGTTGCTTGGTTTTGGTTTCTCTCTTGCTTTACAATTTTAATGTGTGGTGCCTTTTACAAATTTATAATGAAACAATGGAGGGGTGCCATATAAAATGAAATCATATCTATCAGTTTTCATTCTACCAGCTGAATTTTTTTACTGTAGTTGACCATTTAAAATGTTTTTATTGACTGCATTTTAATGTATCAGGCAAAAGAAAAATTTCTGCGCACTTTTTGTAGTCTTCAGGTGATAACTCATACATATCTTGTTGTATTGTCAAATAACAGCTGCTTTTTATGGCGTATTTTTTCCTAATTGGAAAAAAAAAGTAGAAATCTGTACACACAACCTGTCTGAACAAGTAGAATGGAAGAGCTATATTCATGACATGTATCAAATCCACCTATGTTTAATAAAATATATCTTATGCCCTTCACCTGACTCTTTACAGAGATACTGTATTTCTTACCGAAGGTGAATACTAGCTTAAGTTTCTGCTATCACTGTGCAGACTATCTCATGCTTTTATTGTTGAAATTTGTACAAAATAAAGCCTCCCTCCTATGATAACTATTCCTGTCTCCAAGGAATGCTGCCAAATGTTTCTGCTTAGCAAAGAAGAGATTTGATGACTATAGCAATCCAGGTTATGGTAAACTTCACTAACATGGGGTGCATACACAGGTACTAAGTCCACTTAAAATAAGGCGAGTTAACTACATCAAATTAAGTTAAGCCATGTCAGAGCGAATACACGTACAGCTCTTTGATATGGTAGCAGCCATCTTGTGAGCTAGATCAACTTAACTAATATGACTCAAGATAATACACCAGATAGACCTTGTTATGACTTTGTGTATGACCACACCGGATAAAAAAAGGCATATTAAGGAACATCGTATAAACCTGACTGTATGACCCGCAATTATCTTCTATTTGTTTACTGATATATCCATATATTCTCCCATCAGAGGCATGGCAGGTGAGTGAATGAACGAAGATAGCCACCAGTTTCCTAGACCCATAAGCAGGAACCTTAAGATGTTACTTACCTGTCACAAAAGTGGTACATAGGCCAGGAAGCCAAGGGTAATCAACATGGAGACATTGCTTGGAAATGTGAAACCACCATTGGACTGACAACAAGCACACTGTCTTACGCTGCGGATATTGCAAAATCAGCAAGCACAAATGGAGGAGCTGGTGAGAGTCAGCGCTCAGTAGGCAGAGGCACGTATCATAATATTTTCTTGCCAACAGGAGCTGAGCGAGAAACTTGAAGCCAGACAGAAAATTATGTCGCTGTCATGACCTCAGTAGGCACCGTCTCTCTCCACTTCCTGGGACAGGCCCCTCCCCCAACTCATCTGCCACGACTTGATGGAATTTTAACTGAAAAGGTTCAGTGGTGTTCCTAGCCCAGGCCCAGAGACAGGGGTACTCACTTCCTTGTCGCAGTTGGTCCTGGGGCTCCGCCTCCCCTACTCCCCGTCCACTCGCCAATCGTTGGAATTGCTGTGCCGCTGTGCCAGCCTGTGGTCCTGGCTTTTCTTCTCCAGCTGAGGGACCTCAGCCTCTTCGGCCTCTGCTCACAGTGCAAGCTCGTGGTTGCAGCCTGACTTTTGCTCTGGGTCCTCGCCCTTGCTCGACCCCAGTGCAGGGCTTGTGCCTGCAGTACCTTCCACAGGGTCAGGGTTGAATAAACCCTGCCCATGCCGTGGGGTTGGTGGTTGACCCTAAGCCTGTTCATGTGGAGCCTGGGGTCAATGCGCCTTGTTTGGCTCCCAGACACTGCCCCCACCTACTCTCTGGGGGCATTGTAATTACTGCTTGCCCAGGTTGCATCCTGGTGAGCTCTGCTTCTTGCCTCCTGCCTCCTTCCTGCTTGCCAGCTTTTGCTGGCATTTTTAAATTCCCCATGGCAGTGGCCACAGCTGACAATATCAGCCGGCCACTGCTGAACTTGATTGACAGTTGCTTGATAAGCCGGTGCAGCACCGGCTCACATGACCCACCCACTAACCCAGCCTACCTCTCAGGTAAGTTTTCTGAGGGGCCAGGGTCCCTGGATCTATCTCCCAGAGCATCAGGGTTTGTCCCCAGTACTTCCAGTCCTCGGAAGCAGCTCCTGCTGCCACAGTCACAGGGGGCGGAAGGGACAAAACTGCCAAAGATGATGCCCCAAGATAATGTAGAGGCCTTCCTTGAAGCCTTCGAGACCACGGTCATAGCGGCTAACTGGGATCCTGAAGGATGGGCTATACAACTAGGACCCTTACTTATAGGACCCCCCCTAAGCCGTCTATAGGGCCCTATCAAGGATGGAGGCCATAAATTTTAGGAAAGTAAAAAAAGCCATACTGTACCGGTTGGAAGTATCACTGGAATGTTACTGACAACGCTTCTGGGCTAAGAAGAGGAAACAAGATCCTGACTGCTTGTTTAGACACTGAAAGACATACTTAAAAAATGGATTCAGCCAGATGATAAATCTGTAGCTGAAATACTAGACATCTCTGTGTTGGAGGAATTCTTGTCAGATTTGAGTGGAAGCACCCAAAGATGGGTAAAACGACATCAACCACAATCTTTAGAAGCATTCTGATTAGCAGAGGCCTTTTTGGCAGTGGAGCAAGAATCTAAGCCTATGAGGAAAGAAAAAACAGAGTGTGTGTTGTCACCCAATTGTCAGGATATCAGGAAGCGGGGGGGTAAAATTGAAACTCCAAAAACAATGAATAGAGAATACAGAAATTGGGAGCCAGAAGAAGTAGCATGTTCAAATGTGGGAACAAAGGATATATTGCCAGGTTTTGTCCCCAAAAAGGAGCAGGAGATCAGCTATGGGATTTTCCCCATGAGGAAGAAATGGACCGTAGCTTTGGTAGCCACAAGGACCTCAGAAAATGTCCAAACTGATAGTGGATGTAAAAATTGGAGACTTTATAATTCCTGTGATTGTAGATACAGGTTTTACTCAAACTATGGTAAAGGCCAGTCTGATGTCTGCACAGGCTGGAGAGCCAGAGACCCCAGTGAGTATGCTCTGCATTCATGGGGCATTCTATGCATATGAGAGAAGATTACGATTGACTGTTATGGGCCATACCAAAGAATTAGCTGTGGGATTCGCAGATACTCAACCCTGTCCCATGTTACTAGGAACTGACTGGCTGTATTTAAGAAAAGTATTAGGGCAGACCATAAGGAGTTCTAGGGAAGAAGGGCAGTTGGACCAGCAAGATATGGTTTTCATAGGGATAAGCCCAGAAGACATGACCTGAGATGAAAACCTTGATGCTGAATTAGATTTAGAAGAAGTTATGGGGAAGGGACAGTTCAAGGAGAGGCAAGAGCTTTAAACTAGACTCGCCGGGGGAGGGGGCTGCCAG